TAAAGTGACTTTGTTCCTCTCTATTTTGTCTGCTCTTGCTGCTGCCCATTTCCTTTCTATATCTCATATTCAGAGGGCTCGTAAAGGAGGGCTCTGGATGGTGGGGTCACGTGCCATCTAACAAGAACAGTACTGCTGGGTTCCTCTCTCTTCCTAGGCCACCCCATAGCCCATAACTGAATTTCTTTTAGTCATGGTGCAGTTGGCTGTGGCCAGTGTGGAGTGTTCATGTGACAGGAACATGGTTCTGCTCACGTAGGAGCTATGGATGTGGTCTCTCCAGGACTCTAGGAAAACTATAGATCCACCCAGGAAATATGCATAATAACACACAGCTTTACTGCTGGGGACAGGCAAGCTTTCTTATGGAGGATTTTCAAAGTGCTCTATCAATACCATAACTTCCCTGAAACCATGGTGTTTCTATCTCTTACTACATTTTCTGTGGGGAGAACGTTGCCTTTAATAACATGTTCTTTCTAAAGCAGTTGATCATCTCCATTTTTAAGCAAAAGGAAGTGGAATTGTAGATTGAGCTCTGAATCACATGTTGTTGGATCATATTTTCTGAATTGTCTTTAAAGATCTTCTTCCTCCATAATACTGGAAAGTCACAGATAATTTCAATATTTTTAATCCTGGAAATTGAGGTCATACTCCCAAGATCTGTTGTATACTTATGTGGGGGAAACTCTAAATTAGAAACCAGGTTTGTCCATGTTTGTGTCTTACAAGGAGTTCAGTATTTCTCAACCATTCCTAAGATTTCTTTCACCCATGAAAGACAGTGGAGTCCATAAAGGAATTAACACTTTTTCAACATGTCTGAGGCCAGAAGGAATGGGTTTGATAACCAGATATCCATTTTGTAAAAGGAGGAATTTTTTCCTTATTAATTTTTCTATGAAATAAAAATAAATCATAAATAATTTTCACCCTTACTATGATTTAATTGGACTCCTTGCACACGATGGTCTCTCATTAGATTGTTAGGCCAATTTCTTTTTAAAACATGAAATTACAGGATTCAGAAACAGCTGACAAAATCAAATTATAATTGACTATTGCAGATTCATCAAGTTGGCTTTATTAAGCCTTTGTTAAACTCTCAAATGATAGCTTTAAAAAAAGTATGCCTCTTCAGCTTTCATCCCTGTATAAAAAGGGTACCCACCATGTACATTCTTTCAGAGGTAAGATGTTGTCTCAAATCCAAGTTACTCTAGCAAATATAGTAAGATGGTACTCTGTGTGCATCTTGTGAAAGGGACTGTAGTAACCACTCTTGATGTGTTGGCTTGAGTAGGTCCTCAACTTCTGAGTGGCCAAATAGGAAGGGAATTTGTGCATTTGGAGTAGTTGCTTTGGATGACTTTCAAGGAATTCTCCAGACCTGAGATTCGATTTGGGTCTGTTAAGCAGACACCAGGTGTATTTGATTATGGGTTGAAGCCTAGAAAGAATAGAGTGTGGTGGGTAAGTGTGTGAGACAGCTGAGCCTGTATCCATAAATTCCTTTTCTGGGCCACTGGGCCACTGGATTGTACACTGGGCCAGAGTGTACAATCTGGAAGCTGAGGAGAAAACTAAATGCCTCATCTCACAGAATGAAAAAACCATATAATATTTACTTATGAAAAAATTGAGCATTTGGTTATATGAAAGGTTTGAGAATTTTAATTATGCCCCCAAATTCAGCCCTTTATCACACCGATTTATTTAGGGATCTCAAGGTTAATAGTATAGATATGTCCAGGTACAACTTTATCCTATTTACATAAAGAAACATTAAAAATCCAAGATATCCTTTGTAACAGAATCAGAAGTTTAGTAGTTGAACATAACAGAAGAAAATGAGGAATAGCCTATTAAACCTCCCATTTCTTTTTAGCAAATGGCCAAAAGAAGCAGAAGTGAATGGTGACCTTTTTTAGAACTCTGTAAGTACAAGATTGCTGCTGGTCAAAAATAAGAAAATTCGGTTTTTACTATTTCTAGAAGCTTCTGAAGAATACCTATCTAGTCACCATAAAAAACACTACCTTCGTAATTCAGCCACCAGATGGGAATTCTCTCAAACGGGAAAGGCAGGCAATGAACTGGGGTTGACTTTGGGGCTATTAAAAAGCCTCTGGCAATTTAAATCGATAAGGTATCAGCTTATGATGAACAGCTATTTGGTTACCAGCATATAAAAGAAAAAGAAAAAGCTAAATCACAGCAAATGGGAAAATGCTGAATATGGATTCATTTATCCAACCGGCCTTAGGCCAAATGGACATTATATGAATCTCCCCTTCAAAAGGCTTATAATAAAGTGCACCAGTTCATCAAGTACAGAAATCCAAAGATTCGAACATTTGTCCACAATGCATGGGGCTGTTCGTTAGGGACTGCCTCTGAATAACCAACCGCAGAGTCTCTCATTGCAGAAGAGAACTGTCCATTTGCAAGTGAAGGCAGCTCTTCATATCCCTTAAATGTTAAAGATAATGAAATGAATTCTGGACAGAGAAACTCACACAAGTGATTACACATACAAAAAAAAGGCAGATTCTGGGATAGAATTCCTGAGACAGACGGACCCTGGGTCTGATCTTATCAAGAAATTCTGAGAGTCTCTTTATTTTGTGTTTCCCCTGGAATTTAATTCCATAAAACTTCTAAAAACAAACAGAAAACTCAGAGTGAATCAAAGTCACTTGAGAATAGCTGCAGGCTGGTGGGAAATGAGCTTCTGTCGGTCCCAGGTTCAGCGAGGCACTTTGAACAAACCAGGAACTGCGGTAACAAAACACAGCTTTCAAAGGGTAAGATCAACCAACAGTGTGATCAGACCCGTCTCACAAAGAACCAGTTCAGCGGTGAGACAAACAGCACAGAGAGAGCCCGGATAGAAAAAAGAGCCCAGAGCTACACTCATGTACCGTTTTCCACAGCTCTTTTGTTTCCTTCACTGGGTCTGTTTTGACTTTTAGACACTAGTTTTCATGCTATGTTCCACGAGACTGTGGAAGTCCATGAACATCTCTTTACGAGGTCCTTTAAAGACAGCGGGGATATTTTCAGTGTGCCTCGCTTCTATCATTTTCAGCTACCCGAAGCGTGGCATTCATAGAGCATGGATATCATCCATAATGTTGCATTTCCCTTCCGATGGTTTGATAAGCTGTGATTTAATTAGCAGAGATGCCAGCGGCCCGTGGCTGTGCAGAGGCCAACAGTGTGGATGTTTGACAGCATGTGTCAGTGACTTGATGGGGGGGTGCTCAGGGCTGTGTGGCTCTGGAGGAGAGCAGGCTACACGAAAGCCATTGACATGCACACGTTTTTGACTGGAAGGCCCATCAGAAGGCCTAAATGGACCCCACGGGAAGCAGAAGTATTCTCTTAGAGTGAATCAGCATTTAAAATCAATGCTTGAGAATAAATAAGGCACTAGGTTGTGTGTGACACAGAAATCTAAACTATGGTCTCGAATTGTGTTTGCATTCCTTTTCGTACTCCCCTTTGGGAAATAACTCCTGGAATATTTATGGAGAAAAACAATGGAAGTTAGCAGTTAGCCTCTTGCTCCTAATTTCTGGCAAGGACATCGTCAGATTGTCTCGAATTAAAGTGTTTTTGCTTTGCCTTCTTTCCCTCTTGGGAAATAATTTGTGGTATGTGTGTGTTGGGGGAATGGAAGTTGTTTGTCTATTTAGCATAGACACAGAGTCGGTAAGAGAGGAAGGCCACTCCTAGAGGGGTAGATAAAGCATCCAAATGCAAAAGGAAGTTCTGCTGAATTAAATGCTCTCTTAGGAGACCTGAGACCCTCTCTGTGAAGGGGCTGTTTTCCTGGCTGCCTGGAGGCCAGCGTTGCCTCCTGAAGTCAGTGGCCTGGCTGAGGTGGTGACCATTGGGCCAGGGAGGGCCCTGCTGCTGCTAGTCTCCTGGTGGCACGAAGTCCCGGGACACGGTTCCTGGTGCCACCTTACTGATGGGCTCAGCACAAAATGGCAAAGACTGTCATTTTATAAAGGACACAGTTCTATCACATGCAACAGCGAGGGACAGTAAAAGGGGCCCCATGACGCCAAGCCAACACTTGTCCCTTGGCTGTGACACACACTTCAGGAGACAATAGTTTCTTCCCTTCACATGCCCTTTCAAACCTACCCCGGTTGCTCTTCTTTGCCCGGGATTGAACTTGGGATGTTTGTTTGTCTCCATGCCTACCCTGCTTGTTCTTTTGTTTTCTTTCTTTTTAAAATCATTTCCAAAACCACCTTTACTTTACCGAGATGATTGGCAGGATAGCCCCCCTACTCAAATGAGGATTGGGGATATGGTAAATATTTAGAGTCTTATGGCCTGGCCACTGGTGTTGAAGAATATCATTAAGAATCTCCCCATCTTTCCCGGCTGTCTTCACTGATGGGTCATACATCCAGTAAAGCCTACCTTGGAAGCAACAAGAAAGAAGCTATGTCATGTGACCAATAGCTGACCCACAACGGCCCTTCTACACCAATGGAACCCACTGGATGAGACTCAGAGCTTCTTCCATCACTCTGCCTGGCGTAGTAGAAAGCAAGTCTCTAGATAGAAAAGATAAGAACTGAGATTGCTTTTCCTTGCTCTGAAAACACACGCATGTGCCAGTCCTCAAGAACGATCCCTAGCACAATGTCTCGTTTTGTAGGGATGTTACTTATGACAAAGTGACCCAACAAAATGTTCCATCAAAATGATGACAATCCTGATCTCCAGCATGGTTTCTGAGTTCCTGCGTCCACTCACATTTACAGCTGGAGGCTGTGATCTGTTTTCCCTTATAGGCTCCCTGTGAGAACCCGGTATTGATTGTTTCAGGGTACCACAAAGATTAGTTCGAGAAAAAGATTATACATCACAATGCTTAGCATTTATATAGTTTTTTTGATTTCAAAACAAGTTATAAATATTTCCTACTGTGACAACATCTACGCGAGGTAGGTGAGTATGACTGTCCCTACGTTACCAATAGAAACCCAAGGCCAAGGAGTGCAGGATTCTGATCCAGGCCCGAGGGGGTCAGGAGTGACCTTGAGACTGGCATCCTGGTGGCCACCTGCTCTGGGCTCTAAAAGGGCCATGCCTGTCTCTAGGGTGGCAATGGTCTTCATTAATATAGGGTTATATATTGTATAGATATAAAACGCAACACACATTATAGAACAATAATCCAATATTTTTGTTTCTTAGTAAAATATGTGAAGCACAGTATTTAAATTGCATTTCTCTGAAAAGCATTTGGTATATTAAATAGCTCTATAAAGTTTTGCTGGCATACTCTTAACAGCATAATGAATGATTCTAAAGAAATTAAAATCCACAGATGCATAGAGATCTTTCCTTTATAATACCATAAGCTAAACAAAAAAAAATGTGAAAAACTACTTTATTCTCATAATGCAGATCTAATCGCTTGCTGGATATTCGCAGGTAGCTACCTAATTTTTCTGAGCTTGAGAGAAAAGATACATATTGCTGGCTGTGGTTTTAAACTATTAATTTGAGGGGAAAATGCAGTTGAAAGGTGAAAATTAAAGACTGCTATTCCCATTTGGTACCATTCTGAGGGAATTCATACATTTTCAAAAGAGGTTGCCATACTTGGAACTAGCATGGAGGTGAACAGAGGGATGCTGATGCTAAGAAGAACATTCTCTGAGAAGAGGAAAAAATGGTACCAAGTGAAAGGTACGGTATTCGAAGAAAATGAACAAGGAGGCGAAAGAGTGGTTTTCAAGAGCCTGGCATGAGATGTCAGCTGTTCATGTTTGGATGACTGCACGGGTCTTGGAGACAGTTTATGGGGTCAATACTTGGCTTGATCAGTCCCTTGGCTGCGGTGAAAGCCTCACTCACCTCTCTAAGAAGCAGCTCTCAGAAGAGTGTGAAAGCGTTTACCTCATGCTAAGCTTCGTAAGAACCGACCAGGTGGGTCGGCAGAAAAAGTTCTAAAACTAGGAAGTCTTAAAATCTGTATGCAAACGTAAAAACTAACCTCCAAGCTGAAATGACATTCTCTGTCAGGAGTAACAAATACAAAAGTCCTAAACTTCATGTACACGCCGCTAAGATATTGTTGGATAAGATATTACATGGCGGTCGGAGAATATTTTTGTGGAAGTGTGCTTTTTCCCTAAAAAAAGATATATTAAATTGTTTTTTTTTTCTCTCCTCAAGTCCTTTATATAGAAGTAGGAAAGATGAGCTGTCCTGTTAGTTCTTTCCTTCACGTTATGCACTGGCGGGGTCCTTCGAGCTGGTGCTGGACATGGCAGTTTGGTTGCTGGGGGGTTTGAGTCTGAACAGGTTGGAGCAGTTCGGCTGTTTGGTCGGCTGCAAGGTCCTGGCATAGGGTGAGTACCAGTCCCTCTCAAACACATCCTTCAGCTGCTTGATGATGCTCCTGTTGTTCCTCACATCTGCTTGGTTGATAACAAGGCCTGTGCCAGCATTCTGGGTAAAATCGTTCCCTACCCAGTCAAAATTGCCTGCAAACAAACAAAGCAGAGAATGGGGTGCCGAGTTAAGATCCACAGCGGGGGGGGTTAATTCCCCATTTAATGAAACACCGAGCAGATTCTATTTAAAAAAAAAAAAATGACAGGGAGATTGAATTGTGTTGACAGCTCAGGAAAAAAAAAATTTCCAAGAGGCCTTACATATGGTATATTAATATTTGCATATTATTTTGGCATTTTCTTCAGTTTTGCTCAACTTGAAACTCAAAACAAGGAATCTGCTGGGTTTTTTTGGTAACTGTTATTTCTTACTGACATTCACAAGACACACTAAATACAGCAACATTTAAAATATATAGGAATACACTTAAAAATCCTGTGAACAATTACTACCTTCTCACAGAGACAACATCTGATCCATATGTACAAATGAGGGATTCTAATTACAATGCTCACAAGCTTGCACATCAAAGAAAAGGCTAAAGCCAGAGAAGGAGGATCAGTTCCCATCTGAATAGATAAACTCTCCTTGCTCGGGTGGTAAATCATTTCCCGGTTCCAGGATCTGGCTCGTTGGCCCAGGAATCAAGGCAGTTGCTATGATAGTAGGCTCTAGGCTCCCCAGCACGCAGCTTGGTGTTGGGTAGTGTAGTAGTTTGCTAAGGCTGCTGTAACAAAGGTCCACAGACTGGGTGGCTTAAGTAAGAGAAATCTATTGTCTCATAGTTCTGGAGGCTAGAAGTCCAAAATCAACTGTTGGCAGGGTTGGTTCCTACTGAGGGTTGGGACAGAGAATCTGTTCAGGGCTGCTCCCTTGGGCCTGCAGATGCCCAGCTTCTCCCCGTGTCTCTTCACATTCTCTTGCCTCTGTGCATGTCTGTCTCTGTGTCCAAATTTCTCTTGTTTATAAGGGCACCAGTCAAACTGGATCAGGGCTCACCCTGATGACCTCATTCTAACTTGATGACCTCTGTATGGACCCTGACTCCAAATAAGGTCATGTTCTGAGGTACTGGGAGTTAGAACTTCCAACATACGAATTTTGGGGGGACACGGTTCAGCCCATAGCAAGTGGAATCTGTCCCAGAACGGGCCAATAGTATCTATGTCACTCACGTGTAGTCCATCTTCAAGGCGAGAGTAGATAAAAGGAGAGACTACCCCAAAGTCCCACACAAATCTCCTATCTTGGCATCCATCAGGGAGAAGGTTCTAGTGGGAGAACAAAGTTTTCTCCTCAAGAGGGTCCATTCCATTCATTTCTTTGATCTTTTTGTCCTTCATTTAATGCACATTTACTGAGTGTCTAATGTCTACCGGGGTGGGTACCTGGGGCCATGATACAAAACAGAGAGTGACGGTCCCTGACTTCAAGGCATTCAGGAAGGGAACACAATGATTATAACACAGAGATATGTATGTGTACAATGCCATGAGGGCAAGGGAAAAGATTTCCAACACTGGCTGCATGAGTCAGGAAAGCATTTTGTTGAGTAATGAGAGATACACAGAAACATCAGTTAGGAAGTTAGAGAGCCACACCCGCAGAGGGATGTGGACAAAAATATGATCAGGATCTTGGAGCATGAGTGGGGAAGAGTTAGGGATGAAGTTGGGATTTAAAGACCTTAGTGGGGGCGGGGAGAGAATCTGTCCTTTATTAAGTGCCTACTATGAGCAAAGCACTAGGCTTGGCATTTGTATCTGTCATTATCTCTCACAGTTGGTAGGATTTATACCCACTCCACAGACGAGAAGCCTGAGGCTCAAAGAGGTGAACAGATTTGATCAATGGTGGACCCAGGTCTCCACGGGCTATCTATAATACCATAAGCGAAGCAGTGTTCTCACTAAAAAAGATTTCATGAATTACCACTAGCCTGGGTTTGGTCTCAGCTCCCAGTTTTGTGCTGTCTTTGGTTCAGAGCTGGTTTCATAAAGAAAACTGAAGGCGTGTTAAGTGTAGAGCTTGATTTCCAGGCCTTCAGTGGGTCTTCAGCCATCACTGCAGGAATATTTGCTGAATACGACACTGAACCTCCTTGGCCCAAGGCCCTGCAGCCATTTGTGTGGGAAGAGACATCTACAGAGAGCTGATACCTGTTCCTTCATAGCGCTCATCCTGTGGGCCCTCCTCCACTCTCTGGAGTCCCCCCCCATATCAACTCCCCTTTCCATCTGGCACTTCCTGGAATAGAGGAAGTGGTTTCCTTGTCTCTCATTGTACTCCTTGAGTTTATTCCTCACGGCCTTATACCGGGTCCCTATATCAATATTATCAGCACTAGAGAACAAACTCTTCTCTCTCTCTGTCCTCTATCTCCTACTGTCTCCTGCCATTCCCCAAACACACACTGTTCCCCCTGATGGTTTCATGACAGACATAACGTTGGATGAATTTTACTGCTATAAATGAGGGAACCGTCCACCAACGGTTCGTGATACTGCATTGGAGTCTCTGCCAGTGCTGTGTTTCTGACCAGGTGCTCTCAGACACAGGGCCATGCTCAGAGGCGGTGGCTTTGTGCATTGCTCAGTGCCAGGTAAATACAGGCTTGGACGTCTTAAACTGGGGATTAGTAGAAATTGCAGGTTAAGAGTTATTTTGGAACCCACTGGCAGGCAGCACCTTCGAGTCATCCCATAAACAGAAGACTCCTGTGCTCTTGCATGCCTTTCGAGGACTTGTGGAGAAGATGCTAAAGTCTTGTCCCCACAGCTGAGTGTCAGGCAGTGAATTCATTATCTCATTACATTATCTCATTCAATATTCACTGCAATCCTATGAGGTGATAATACTCACTCCGTTGTACCGATGGGGACATTAAGGCACAGAAAGGTTAGGTAATTTGTCCAAGACTGGAGTGAAAAAAAATTAGAGCTGAGTTTCAAAGCCAGGTCTGACCCCACAGCCCACACTCAACTTCTGTTCCATGTCACCTCCAATCCTAAAGGCCTGCATGGTACTAACTGTACATTTCCCCCTCCTCCCCACCCCACAGACTTCAGCATCAGCCACTAGGGCTGGAGCACCAGGCCACACTGAACTACTCTCCTCTGGGGACCACACTCTCTGAAGGACACAGAGATGGAAATATGCTTTGGGGGCAGCATGAAGAGACAGAAAGATAAGGGGAGAGAAGTGACAAGATTTTGGAGCCTTATTTTGGGAGATTCAGCTTTTCCCTTCAGTACAATGGATGGAGCCAAGATCCTGCACCCATGATTCTCCAAAGCTTTAATTAGGTTCTTCTCCAGAATTCCAACACTAGGCAGCTTTCTCAGGCCTGCAGAGGCAATCCTCCACCAGTGTGATCATGTTTTCCCACTTTTCACTTCCTCAAGGTTTGGCTCAACTTCAGAATCACATACCTGCTTCAGTATTTTCTCAACTGGGACACTGTTCCACTCAGTGCTGAGACTGCCATCTCAGCTTCCCAAATGCATGTGTCGGCCCAGGTGGCAGGAGAACTATAGGGTCCTCCCCAGGAACCATGGCACGGGTGTAGACAAGCTCCCTGGGAAGGTATATGCGCCTCAGTGAGCCTTCTCAGTGCCTCCAATTAACCTACCACCCCCTTGTCGGCCCTCAAACAATTTGAATCATCTTCTGGACAAATGTGCCAAGCCAGATTCAAATATACTCCAGAGAATTCAAAATTAGAGAGATGATACTGTTTGGGAAATCTGTTAAGTCTTGTGAAGATTTAATGAGCTATAATTCCATGCAAGGTCTAGTGTGGATTTTTCTTAATTCAGCATTCTCAGCTGGTGTCTGAGTGAGGACTTAAGAGATTTCCAGAACATGCTGATAATCATTTAAATTATCAATGAATTTTCCCTCTGGATGCTCTTTAAATATTTTTATACAAGAACTATGCCTCACTCTAGGGAATTAATGTTTTGCCAGAATGCTGTGTGTAAAATGAACTCATTTAAAAATGCATTATAACAGAAAGCCAGAAATAGACCCTTGTAAATATAGCCAACTGATCCTTACAGAGAAGCAAAGGCAATGTGAGGGTGCAAAACTAGTCTTCTCAACAATGGTGCTGGAATAACGACATTCACCTGCAAAAAAAGAGAATCTAGACATAGATCCTACACCTTTAACGAAAATTAACTCTAGATGGATCACAGCAAAATGTAAAATGCAAAACTATAAAACTCCTAGAAAGTAACAAATAAGAAAGTCTAGATGAACTTGGGTTTGGTGATGACTTTTTAGACACAAAACCAAAGGCAGGATCCAGGAAAGAAATCACTGATATGCTGGACTTCATTACAATTTAAAATGTTTTCTCTGTGAAAGACACAGTCAAGAGAATGAAGAGATAAGCCACAGGCTGGGAGAAAATATTTGCAAAAGACACATCTGATGAAAGACTGTTATCCAAAATACACAAAGAACTCTTAAAACTCAACAATAAGAAAATGAAAAGCCTGATGAAAAAAATGGGCCAAAGACACCTCATCCAAGAAGATATTCAGATGGCAAATAAGCATATAAAGAGATGCTCCATATCATATTATCAGGGAAATGCAGATTAAAACAATGAGATACCACTACACGCTTATCAGAATGGCCAAAATCTGGAACACTGACAATACCACACGCTGGTGATGATGTGGAGCAACAGGAACTCTCAGTCACTGCTGTGGGAACTCAAAATGATAGAGCTACTTTGGAAGACAGTTTGGCAGTTTCTCACAAAACTCAACATAGTCTTACCATTCGACTGGGCAATCACACTCCTTGCTATTACCCTAGCAAGGGGGGTTGAAAATAAGTCCACACAAAAACCTGAATGTGGATGTTTATAGCCTCTTTATTCATAATTGTCAAAACTTAGAAGCAACCAACATATCCTGAAGGTGAATGGATAAACAAACTGTGGTCCACCCAGACTGTGGAATATTGTTCAGTGCTAAAAAGAAATGAGCTATCAAGCCATCCAAAGATACAGAGGAAGCTTAAATGCATATCGCTAAGTGAAATAAGCCAATCTGAAAAGGATAGACACTATATGATTCCAACTACATGATATCTTGGAAAAGCCCAAACGATGGAGACAGTAAAAAGATCAGTGTGTTGCCGGGAGTTGGCTGGGAGGGAAGGAGCACAGAGGATTGGCAGGGCAGTGAAATGACTATGATACCATAACGGTGTATACATTGTCAGGACCCAGAGAATGTAACATCAAGAGTGAATCCCTAATGTATATATCAATATCAGAACAGGTTCACCAATTGTAGCAAATGTACCACTTTGGGGGGCTGATAATGGGGCAGGTTGTGTGTACATGTGAGTGGGCAGAGGGATATGAGAATTCTGTATTTTCCATTCAGTTTTGCTGTGAACCTAACTGTTCTAAAAAAAAAAAAAAAGTCTATTTTTAAAATGTATTATATGGGAAGAAGAAGAGAGAGAGCCAGGAATCCATATTTACTAAGGATTGAGACAGATGGGAGCCAATGTTTGGAGCTTTTCCTATATTATCTCGTTTAATCCTCCTACCACCACCAAAGGGTGGACACTTTTATCCCTATTTTAAAGATAAGAAAACAGAGGCACACAGAGACTCAGAGAGATCACGTGACTTTCCATCATCTTCCAGCTTATAAGGGTCAGTGCTTGAATTCAAATAGAGGTTTTTGTGACTCCAAAACACTTATTTGATTCGTTAAAAGAGCTTTTGGATATAGGCACCATATAACTGCTCCAAGTACACATGGCACTTCACTTTGAGTAAACCCCGCAGGTAAAATATCCAGATCTGAGTTCCTAAATCCAACTGGGCCTGAAACCTGATCTGTCCCTGTATTTCCTAATTATTGAGCCCAAAGTTCCCAGTTTTGATGAAATGATTTTGAGTTTGTTTTTGACACGTATTTAAAGAGGAGCTGCTTTCATTCTATCCTCTGTAAGCTAATGAACATGAGAACATCCAGATTCTTACATCCTAAGCCACCAGGAGGGACAGTATGAATAAAATAATATTCTCATATTCTAAAACAACTTGAGTAATACACATTTTAAAAAATTCCAATATACTATTCTCCTAATGTGACACACAACTACTCAAAATGGAAAAAGAGCAACTTTCCACGAAGCTGGGACGGAGTAGCTAACTTTCGAGTGGCTGATGGCAGTGTCTTCTGGTTCCAGGTGGTAGGGTTGAGGGGGAAGGTTCTGGGTACCTTGGATTCTAGGGCTTGCTCTTCCTCTTCTCATCTGCATGTTTAAGTCATTTCCCCAATCATGGTCCGTGTTTTCTTATTTCTAAACTGCAGGCGATAAAAGCTGCCCTCCCTATTGGCAACGTTGCTTAGAAAATCAAATGAGATAAAGTGCTTTACAAAGAAAAAAAGGCATACTCTATACTCACTCACTGAACTAGAGGGGGAAAAAACCCCATATTCCATATTCCTTCATTCCACACGCACGTTTTTCTTTTCTGCTTTGAGCCTGCCACGTCATCTGTACAATGTAATAGCCAGACTGCTGTTCTGTGATTTATGTCCCTTCTTTTACGGATAATAATTTCTGCTCTGCTGTTGATGGTACCAGTTAAGGGATTACCCTGGACTCATGCACACTGTAGGAAAGGCGCACAGAGCTGACACATTAGTAAATAATTCCACTAGTAGGTATTATTACCTTAAAAATAACAACTAACATGAATCAGGTATTATCTGTATGCTGGGGGTTTTAATTGTGCAAGGTGCTCTGCATATATTACTTAAATTTCCCCCAGTGAAGTAGAAACTATTATTAGCCCCATTGTACAGATGGGGATATTGAGGTTTAGAGAGCATGAGTAAATTCTCCGAGGGGAGACATTTTCAAAATGGCAGAGGTGGGATGGTTGTCCAGGCAGTACTCATTTTGGTGCTGGGCTGTCATCATGTCTGCCTCCTGTGATTCAGGACAGGCTGGCTGGGGTATGGTGGGTGGGAAGGGTTCAATTCTCAGGACTCATTTTTTTAAAAATTCTATTTATTTATTTGAGAGAGAGAGCACAAGCAGAGCAAGGGGCAGAGGGAGAAGCAGACTCCTGCTAAACAGGGAGCCCAATGCGGGGCTCGATCCCAGAACCCTGAGACCATGACCTGAGCTGAAGGCAGATGCTTAACCAACTGAGTCACCCAGATGCCCCTGGGACTTGCCTTTCATGAGCCATTCACCTCCTCACCCATAACATGAGGCAAGTGGACCAAAGAATTTCTGAAAACACTTATTAAAAACATCTTCTATGGCATCCCCATACTTGAACCAAGCCCTAGAGGAGAGGTTCAGTTCAAGGGGCTGTTTGCCCTCCCCCTCCTGTTTCCTCCAGGGCCCTGCAGGGTACGGAAGACTACGGTGGGACCGCCACTGACCTGCAGGATCCCCCAAGGAGCCTGACAGCCCTGACACCTACCAATATAAGCCGCGCCGTCTGTCACCATGTACTTGTTGCGATTTAATTTAGGAAAGGTGTGATCCTTTTGTTCTTTTGTAGCACACACATTCTCTCTTTCCAGATCAAAAAATTTCTGTAAGACACAAAAGTAAACAGATTAAGGAAGCAGGTGAATAAGGAACGTTTTTGGTTTTGTTCAAGAGCACAAAAGGGTTTCTTATCCAAATATCCACAGTTGGCCTCATACTGGGTTATTAAAGCCACAATCTTGTTAATTCATATAGATGAAGTATTTTTGCTCTCAAATCTTATATGGGCAACAAGAGGGAAAATTAGCATGCTCGACTAGGTCTATAATGAACACTTTTAAGCTGCAAAATGAACACAAAATTCATTCTTTCAACAAGGTGAGGGCCAGAAAGTTTTTAAATTCTCATTGTCTTATTCATCGGGGTGCACTGGCATTTGAGGTCTGCCTCAGGGTGCTTTCTGTCATGCATGCCAATGACCTGAATGAATATTCCTCTGTGTTGCATACATTATAAAAAGCAGCAGGCCCATGTCAATGACTAGCTGATTCAGCTGGGGATTTGCAAAGGTCAAAAGAGATTTTGCCAAGGGGACAAACCTAGGTCTACAAGCTTTTTTAATAAGAAGTCAAAAAAATCACCACTTCAAACTGTGAATCCTGACTTTCAACTTTAATGTGACCCCAAAAGCACCTCAGGCCTGGGGCTATGGGGGGCTGACAGTGGAGGTAGGCGGGCTGGTGTTTCCAGAATCTGCTGGAATTCCTAACTGCTCAGATGAGGCCCGAACTGTGACCGAGCTCACAGGATGACACACCATCAAAGGTGAGCTCTTGAGTCTCCTTCACATTGGAAAAGGCTGAACATATCCAGAACTGCATGGAATCTTTCTGGAATGAATGTCTTAGGGCTGTGGGATCATGCATGTTTGAAAGGAAGAAGAGGCAGAGAGAAAAATGAGATGTTATCTAGAAATGGAGACGTCATACAGTTTTAAAACTGTTCAAGTTTGCCTTGGGGAAATAGTGAGGGCTCATCTTCCCCTTCATCCCAGAGTAGGAAAGGAGTGATAAACTAAGTGTGATCACCAAGGTCCCTAACAGCCCTGAAAATTCTATTCCAATTTTTTGCAAGACCCCTTGAGATCAATGGTGCGCCCACCAAAATCTATCACCTGAGAATGGTCCATTGCACATCACAGAGGAAGGTATTACCCAGAGCCATATTACCATGATGCTAGGCAATGCTGCCTCGATCCCCCTTCTCCACAGTTCCTGTCTCCTGCAAAATCTGTGTCATTTGGAGGGTTCACAGATGGCCACATTTTGTGGATTCTTCACACAGACTTGATGACCTGTGGATGCTCTTAAGTCATAGTTATGTATCTGGGAAGCCCTGTGGTAGTTCCCCAACCCTGCCTGCCACCCAGTAACAGCAGTCACCCTGCTCGGACATTCTGTTACAACACATGTCCACACACTCCACCTCCTCCTTTTGAGAAAAATATTATTGTGGAATCAAGATGGATGTGAAAAAGAATAAAATATACATCCTAATTTATGTTGGGGATGGCATCACTGCTTGGCACTCTACAGAGACTCATCTGCTCTAGAAAGTTGAAGATGGCCCCCAAGAAGGAAAAAGCTTTGTCTGGGAGACGAAAATGGCAGCAGGAATCACACTGTATTCACTGACATACTACAAGACACCTAATGTGCTGTAGGTGACAGCAAAGACTGTCCAAAAGGGATTTATGAATTCATTGAAAAATAAAAGCCCAGCTGACAGGCCCAACTTTGTGACTGCAGTCTCTTTCCCAGGTGTCCCCTAATGGATAAAACCCCTGCCACCAAGCCAGGGCTGTGGGTGCCCACTCCTCTGAAGAAAGATTCCCTGCCTTGCAACCAGGACTTCTGCTTTATCAGGGATCCCAGGTTCCAGAAGAAATGCTTCAAGGAATGTTCCAATGCCCACCTGTCTTGAAAAAGCTCCTCACCCACCTGTGTTCTAGATGTTGGGGCCACAGGCTGTGTTCCCACTGAGGCTTATGTTGATGCTTAGAAATGCATGGCCTGGCTTGAGTGAGGACCAGAGTCTCTACTTCATGAAATGTCCAACGGTGAACTACTAATGTTTGGTCTATTCAAGTAATGTGACCATGGGTGTTGGAAAAGATGGAGCTGAGTAAGTAGAGAATAAAAGGATGGATTCTACTTTCCTTATAATTTCTTGCAAGTCTTAAATGAGAGCACAATATTTCACAATGGAGATTTCAACTGATAGTGCCTTCGAGAAGAGGTGGGAGCAAAGGCACAATGTGTGGTAGGCTCCAGACATTCTCTCCTCTGCTTCTGTTTGTATTAGTCATGTCTTCTTATTTTCTGTGTTCTGATGCTTTGACATCTGAGCCCTGCTGAGCCTGGAGGGACTGCTCTTCCGAGGGCTGGCTAATTTCTGGAGATAGCAAAGAACTTGCCTGTGAGTGCACTTCTCATACTTAAAACCATGGCCCATACCCTGAGTCACCTCCTTTATGGCTCACACTGGGCCACTATCCACTTGCCCTAATCACCCCAGGGCCAGGTACCAGGCACCAGGCAACTAGGGACAGCCCCTGGGCCCTAGAGCCCACCGAAATCATTCAAACTTGCCAATCCTAAGTGGGCTTACTCTGCCTTGCCTCTTCCCCAACCCTGTAAACCAAAACAAAAGTTCTTGTCCATGCTTCCCTCACTCCTGCCTCCTGGATGACCCTGGGGCATCCCTTCATGCCCCCTTATCTTGAGATCTGTGAATAAAACAAATTTGCCTTTCCAATGGCCACCATTTCCTGATCTGTTGGCATTGTCATATCTAAATCATAATCAAACTTGTATTTTAGAACACTGCTAAACTTGGTAGGTCTGACAGTGGTGCTCCTCTATCTGCAAGCATACTGAACTCTGAGTGAATGACCTCACCTGGCAGATTCTTCACCCTTCTCCAGCACACCCTCTTTAGGGAAAATGGCTAAAATGACTCCATATCTACCATGCTCCCTGCTCCCTCCACTCACTGGTTCACAGATCCTTCCTGAACATGCTTCATCAGCTCCTTTTTTTGATTTTATCCATCCATCCATCCATCCACCCATCCATCCATCCATTCAACACATATGTTTTGAATTCTTTGTGCCAGCATCCTGCTAGGCACTAGGAATACAATGCTTGACTTGATTTTCCATGCTGTCCTATATGCCACTTCAGTTATCTGGAAAATGCCATCCCTAGGCTGAAAACAATCCCCAGGATTCTCTTGTCCATGGAAAGGTACTGAACACAAACTGACTATTCTCCTGGGTCGCTGCCTGGCTTTCTGGGAACATACCAGTGTTTCCTCTAATCCCTGATTCCTGATTCTAAACTGAGGTTGGTGCTCGAATCCAACTCCTGGTTATCACATTCACTTGTAAATCTGGTGTGGAAAATAGATCCATAGTAGTAATCATAAACCTGTTTCTTCTTCCCATTTTATTGAGGAGTAATTAACATCTATCACTGTATAAATTTAAGTTGTACTGCATCATGGTTTGATTTACACATTATTGTGACATGATCACAATACATTCAGCTAACATCTATCTTCTCATATAGATAAAATAAAAAGATAAGAAAGAAGAAAAGAATAAAGACAAAAATTTCTCCTTGTGATGAGAACTCTTAGGATTTCTTTTCTTTCTTTTTTTTTTTTAAAGATTTTATTTATTTATTTGACAGAGAGAGACACAGAGCAGGAACACAAGCAGAGGGAGTGGGAGAGGGAGAAGCAGGCTTCCCGCTGAGCAGGGAGCCCGATGTGGGACTCGATCCCAGGACTCCGGGATCATGACCCGAGCCGAAGGCAGCCGCTTAACGACTGAGCCACCCAGGCGCCCTAGGATTTATTTTCTTAACAACTCTCCTACATATCATGTAGCAGTGTTAGCTGCAGTCATCATGTTGTATGTTAAATCCCTAGTACTTATCTTGTAACTGGAAGTTTGTACCCTTTGACCACCTTCCTCCAATTCCCCGTCTCCCCTACCCCACCCTCCACCTCTGGTAACCACAAATCTGATCTCTTTCTCTATGACTTTTTATTTTTTTTAAATTTTATATTCCACATACAATTGCTATCCTACAGTACTTGTCTTCTCTGACTTATTTCACTTAGAATAATGCCTTCAAAGGTCCACCCATGTTGTCAAAAAGGTATTATCTCATTTTTATGGCCAAATAATATTCCTTTGTATAGATATGCCACAACTTCTTTATCCATTCATCCATTAATGGGCATTTAGGTTGCTTCTATGTCTTGGCTACTGTGAGTATTGCTGCTATGAACATGAAGGTGCGGATACCTTTTTGAGTTAGTGTTTTAGTTTCCTTTGGTTATATTCCCATAAATAGAATTGCTGAATCATATTGTAGTCCTATTTTTAATTTTTTGAGGATTCTCCATACTATTTGCCATAGTGGCTGCACCAATCTACATTCCCACCAATGGTGCACACAGGATCCCTTTTCTCTACATCCTCACCAGCATTTGTTATCTTTGTTTTTTTGATGATGGCTGTCCTAACATGCATGCTATGGTATCTCACAGTGGTTTTGATTTGCATTTCCCTAATGACTGGCAATGTTGAGCATCTTTTCATGTACCTCTTGGCCTTTTGTATATCTTCTTTGGAGAAATGTCTATTCAGGTCCTTTGTCCATTTTTTAATTGGGTTATTTGCTATTCAGTTGTATGAGTTTTTGATGTATTTTGGATATTAAGCTCTTATCAGATATATGCTTTGCAAATATTTTTCCCCTTCCATAGGTGGTCTTTTCACTGTTTCTTTTTTATTTTGTTGCTTGTATTTTAGGTGTCACATCCAAAAAGTTATTACCCCAATGCATGTTAAGAAACTTCGTTCCTGTGTTTTCTTCTAGGAGTTTCATGGTTTCAGGTCCCACATTTAAGTCTTTAATCCATTTTGTGTTAATTTTTGTGAGTGGTGTATGATATGGGTCCAGTTTCATTCTTTTATATGTGAATATCCAGGTATCCCAGCACCATTTGTTGACAAGATTATTTTTTCTCCATTGAGTATTCTTGGCTCCCTTGTCAAATATTAGTTGGCTGCATATGCTTGGGTTTATTTCTGAGCTCTTGGTTCTATTCCATTGGTCTATTTGTCTGTTTTTATGCCAGTACCATATTTGATGACCATAGCTTTATAGTATAGCTTGAAATCAGGAAGTGTGATACTTCCTTCTTTGTTCTTCTTTCTCAAGATTTCTTCAGCTATTCAGGGTCTTTTGCAATTCCACATAAATTTTATGAGTGTTTTTTCTACTTCTATAAAAATGCAATTGGAACCTTGATAGGACTGCATTGAATCTATAGATGGCTTTTGGTTGTATTGATATTTTAACAATATTAATTTTTCTAATCCATGAATGTGGGATACCTTTCCATTTTTTTGCATTGTCTTCAATTTCTTTTATCAATGTCTTATAGTTTTCAGCATAGAGATTGTTTATCTCCTTAGTTAAATTTATTCCTAAATATTTTATTGTTTTGATGCCAGTATAAATGGGATCCATTTTTTTTTCCAGAAATTTCACTGTTAGTGTGTAGAAACACTACTGATTTTTGTATTTTAATTTTGTATCCTGCATCTTTACTGAATTCATTGATTAAATCCAACATTTTTGGGGGTTGAGTCTTTAGGATTTTCTATATATAAAATCATGTCATCTGCAAATAGAGACAATTTTGCCACTTCCTTTTCAATTTTGATACTTTTTATTTCTTTTTCTTGCCTGATTGCTCTGGCTAGGACTTCCAATACTATGTTGGATAGGAAAGGTAAGAGATGGAACACTTGTCTTGTTTCTGATCTTAAAGGAAAAGCTTTCAACTTTTTATCATTGAGTAAGATGTTAGCTGTAGGTTTCACAGACCCGTTTCTATTTCTAATACTGATTTGTGAACTCAGACATGTGCATGGCTACTCAGTTTATAAAAACCAGTTAAATGGAGATAAAAATTTCTATTTTATATCAATATTATTAGAATGTTAGGGAGATTAAAATGAAATCTATGTGAGAAGCATAATTTTTTGAAATCTACAGTAAATCCTAGAATTTTATGTCTTTATATGATTGATAACTTCAACTTAAAAAAATATTTAATGTTATGAATGAGTTAACATTTTATCTGATATTTTTGTTGATCCCACAGATATATAAGTCAGATGTGTAGCATCTCAAGTCTTTGAGCAGATGTAATATATGACGTTTTTCAATATAGATAGGAAAGACAAAAAAAAGAACTTTGTAACTTCAATTATCTGTTCTGCATGCAGAGACCATGCAGTATGATATCTAAGAGCTCAGACTCTGGAATTAGAAAGACTTGTATTTTCCTTAACTTTATTTTTACATTAATAATGTATGGTATTGGCAATGATCTCATTAAAAATATATGAATAAAAATAAATATGAATAACATTGTAAAAATTAGTAATTCAGTAATTCTACTTTTAAAATTGGCACAGAAAAAATTTGTATGTTTGGTAATGTTGCATTTGTTGCAGCAAAAGTTGTAAGACTATGTTAAAGCTTTTCGTATTTGCTGTGTGAGCATTTTGTAAAACACTGAAAGTAGTCTGAGATAGTACAAGAGATCATTTCTTACGACTTATTTTATATCATTTGTTTTCCTCATCCTAAAAAGTTGAATAAAATCTGTTCAATTCAGTTCTACACACACACACAAGGAAAGAAGGAAAGAAGAAAGAAAGAAAGAAAGAAAGAAAGAAAAGAAAGAAAGAAAGAAAGAAAGAAAGAAAGTAAAAGAAAGAAAGAGAAAGAAAGGAAAGAAAGAAAAGAAAGAAAGAAAAGAAAGAAAGAAGAAAGAAAGAAAGAAAAAGAAAGAAAGAAAGAAAGAAAGAAAGAAAGAAAGAAAGAAAGAAAGAAAGAAAGGCTTGTATTTGAATCTTTCTCCTCTATTAACGAGTGTCCTGGAGAGAAATTATTTAATCTCTTTAGGCTTCATTTTCTATGTCTTTACAATATAAAAGTTCCTGCTTCACAGTGTAGTTGTGAATATTAAGTAGTACATACAAAGTATTTAATGCAGTGCCTGTCCAACTGTCTATACTCATGAATATAAGAAATTCCTTATTTAAAAAAAAATATTAAGCACTTACTACATCTAGGCAAAGTGAAGTGAGATGGTGCCCTAATAGCAACAATAAAACTTAATAAAAGATGTAGCAATGGTTTACCCAATGGGCAGCAGGCAACAAGGAAATTGGTATTACAGGATGGAGAGAATGGAGACCCAAGCAGTGGCAAAATATTTGGTAAAACCATAACTTGCATTAATTTGGAACGAAGACCAAGCACACCCCCCCCCAAAAAAAAACCAACTATGGCTATAGGTCAAGGGATGGGAAAACAAATTGTTAGTAGTATATGTTGGTTGTTATTAGTACTTTTAGGAAGTTATCAGAGGAGACAAATAAGCTCAGAGACGGATTTGCTGGCTTGCAAACTGATATGAAAGAGAGCAGATACACTAGAAATTTGGTATTTCAAAGGGTTAGAAAAACTGATTGTGCCAGGAGCCCAGGAGTATAAAATTAGTTTGAAAAATGCTTTAAGTGACTGAGGCCAGTTAAGACTCAATCCTGCAGCAAAGATCAGATAACTGGAATAATCATAATTGGTATAATCTTCCCACCCAAGTCTGATGACCTGAATGAAACCACCATTAATAAGAAAGAGGAGCAAGAGGGAGAAGGGGAGGGGAAGGGGGAGAAAAAAGGAGAGAGGGGGAGGGAGGGAGAGGGAGGCAGAGGCAGAAGTATATGGGCAAGGAAGCATATTGGTCAAGTTTGGGAACTATGTACAACAAAACCTTTGGCTGTGGCTATTGGTACATACATTCACTGGCCTTCTTCTGTCCCTGTTATATGGGGAGGAGGTAACTTCAACCTGGGTTTTGGGTTTCGTGGGAAATTGCTGTTTTGTTTTTAGTTTCTGTTTATTGAACTATGAGGTCCAGAACTGCACATCTCAGGGAGGTCTTGAACTTTGCACTGTGCAGTACCTGTGGGGGATGAGGGTTCTCTGTGTGGGTGCAGACTGATGATCCACCAACCTGTCCCTTTGTCTTTTGGGGAACATGCCACCCCTGACATTCGGTGTGGCCAGGTGAGTGACTTCTGAGCAGCAGAATAAAGGCTAAAGGGAGGTTCACCACCTCCAGGCCCACCCCATAAATGCCTCCTGGGCAGTCCTCCATTCTCTCTCTCTCCTTCTGATTGGCCCTGGGATGCTGAGGGTTGGGACTATCTTGGAAGCTATGTGTCAGAGTGGATGGTGACACCCCTGTCATCCTGGTCCCTAAATACTGCATGGAGCACAGACCCATCACCCAGAAGTGTGCCTGGCACAGAGTAGGGTCTCAGGGTACATTTGCTGAATGACTGCAGTGGAGGCTGGAAAAGGTGAGCCCTAAAGAACTAGCGGGCATTAGTCAGATAAGGCACAGAGGAGGAGAGTGCTGTAGGCAGAGGGAACAGCATTATACAGAGGCCCAGAGGGGAGGAAGAGGACATCCATGTGAGGACCTGAGAGTCAAAGATGAGCTAAGGCATTACCACACTGAGAGTAAAACCCATTCCCAATCTTGTCTCCCTCAAAGTATATGGATTAGCATGTGGCCCCAAGGACTGGAGCAAGAACAGGAGCTCAGGCTGGGGGTCTCTGGGGCTGGGGGAGGCTGTGGAGAGCAGAGCCACTGCTGGTCACAGACTTAGAAACAGGAATGGCAGGTGAACGAAGCAGTTCAAACAAAGCAGAGAGGGCCCAACAGGCAGTGTGTGAAAATAGGGCGAGGCCGGGAGGGCACCAGCAAATGTGGGTTCCAGGCTCCTTTTCTCATGTGTTTGTCTTTTTTTTTTTTTTTAAGATTTTTTATTTATTCATTTGAGACAAAGAGATACAGAGAGAGAGAGAGAGAGAAAGCATGAGCAGGGAGAGAGGCAGAGGCAGAGGGAGAAGCAGGCTCCCCGCCGAGCCAGGAGCCCGATATGCGGCTCGATCCCAGGACCCCGGCATCATGACCCGAGCTGAAGGCAGACGCCCAACCATCTGAGCCACCCAGGTGCCCCTCATGTGTTTGTCTTGAAAAAAATACTTATCCTACTTTTGAAATATTTTCTCACTATCAGAGACTGTTATCCTGGTTCTTAATTGGCAGTTTACATGAATGCATGTGCTTACGGCTTTCACAGATGTGGGGAGGGAATCAGCCCTTTTTATTTAAAAATACTGAAGTCAATATCATACTTACAACTTTCAAACTGCAGTTGGCTATTTCAGTGCAAATAGCTTTAAGAGATGAAATAAAGTTAAATGTAAGGGGGTCAGTTTCCTTCCAGAAGCTTATAAGGAGTCGAACTTTAACGCTTCGCAAAACTAATGCTTCTCTTATTTTCCCATCCAAGTCTGGCCAGTAAGTCCTGTAGGAATAATATCCATGTGGATAAAAATAAAGAAAATAAGTTAGTTTGGGGAAAGAAATTTACTAGACTGCAAAGAACATTTATATTAACCCAATCATTACTTCGTTCTGTAATATAGACACAACTTGATAGGATATGTTGAAAACATGCAGATCTCCTGGATTGGGCACCTAGAGAGGATGCTTTCTTGGGTCCTGACTCTGCCTGAAATGAATTCTTCCACCACTGGGATCTCAGAGGATGTGGAGAGATTGACCTCCATCACCTGCTATCCTCACCATTCCTGCACCACCTCAGCTCACATGTGCGCTGAGAGTCAACTTTCCAACAGAATTCCTGTTCAGAGCCTTGAGCACCCCATCAGCCCCCAAAGGCTGTGAGAACCCCTCTTCTTTGGAAACTGCCCCCCAAATGAGCTTCTGCTCTGATTATCCAAACTTCCCCATACTCTCATTTCCAGGCTGTCTTCCTCTTTCCTGACCAAGCCCCCAGCTACTCTGGCCCTTGGACTTCTCCACCAGGCCAACAGTGTCTCCTGGAGGCTCAGCCTCTTCCCTGAATCTGTAGCTTTTTGCCTTAACTAAATCCTGACTCTTCCTGAGGCCATAGCTTCTCTGGAAGTCCTGACATGTTATTTTCTACCACAATTTACCCACTTGGTTTAGGAGGTGGGGTCAGCCCTCCCAAAACACACACAATGTCACTTCCAGAACTGTCACTGATTTCTCATTTAAAAAAACAACAACAACAAACATTTCTATCTTAAAGACAAGCCCCAAATCTATCTCTCCTCAGCCCCAACATGTGTAGACCTTTGTTTGTTCACTGGTTCAAATCTTTCCCTAACTCCAGGCCAACTCAGTTTGGACTGATACAGTTTTATTCAAAACCTTAGCCTGCAGGTTTTGTAATCAGTGCACCTCCAAAGTTCTCCTCTTTATATGGACCAGCCTGTGGTCCTGCAGCGTCCTGCACTCTATGAAATCCCCACTGAGCACGCTCTTGCCCTACATGGGCTCAGCCACATGACCCCCTCACTCTCCTGCTCCATCAGCTCCGGGTCACCTTTCCGACCGAGACCAACCTCAGTGATCACCTGAAGAACACCTTCCCTGCCCCTTTCTCTAGCTCTTGGGTCAGAGCCACACATCCCTTGGTCTATTTCTATGGCCACAAAACCAAGGACTGCTGAACAAAGTTAGCTCAGCCCTGTGAGCTGAGGCCCTCGCCACCATCCACCTCCCCTGTCCTTGCCTTGGGCAGTTCCTCCTCTGGGACCTTTCTGTAATTACTCTAAGCTAGACCTCACTCCAGAGAAACTTGTTTCTTCCTCCATGCACAAAATAGAGCTTCTCGGTCATGGTCTTCCTCAACTTTCTACCCCTGAGAGCCTCACACATCCTTCTCCCCTTTCCCCCAGCTCAGAGGATAAGGCAACCTGCTCAGGGTCAGACCTGGACCACCCCTCCCCCTGGGCCATTCCCCTGACCCTCTAACTGTGTTTCATTGGTCATTCCTTCCCAAAGAGTGTTTCAACTCCCCCCTCTCTCCCTTCCTCTTAGTTTGAGAATAAAATGTAAATCTTGCTCAGAGAACCCTCCCCTGACTCTGCATCGCTCCATGGCTGGTGCACAATCTCTTTTCCCTTTTGAACTAAACTATCTATCTATCTATCTATCTATCTATCTATCTATCTATCATCTATCATCTATCTATCTATCTATCTATCTATCTATCTATCTATCTATCATTTATATCTATCTATCTCTCATCTTTGAGTGTAGCTGACACACAATGTTAACATTAGTCTCAGGTGTACAACACAGTGATTCAACATCTCTATACGTTACGCTGTGCTCAGCACACAGCTGCCATCTGTCACCACACAACACTGTCACACGATCATCAAGGATATTCTCTGTGCTGTGCCATTCATCCCTGTGATTTACTCATTCCACAGCTGGAAGCCTGTACCTCCCTCTCCCCTTCACCCATTTTGCCCATCCTCCTGCCCCTCCCCTCTGGCGCCCATCAGTTTGCTCTCTGTCTTTATGGGTCTGTTTCTACTTTTTTGAACATAACTTCTTGACAGTATAATCTAGAACCTCTGACTTTACTTCATCACCCCCACTCACTCCTCAGCCTACTGCCCCCTGGCCTCCAGCCCACCATTTTTGTGCAAATCTCCAAGTCTGCAGTGATGTCCCAACTGCCAAATCTAATGGACATCATTCAATTCTTACTTTACTGTTAGTTTAAGTCACATGTGGCTCTGTTGATGGTTCTTTTCTTCTTGAAAACAGATTCCATTGGCTTCTACGACCCTGTGGTTTGATGGTCTGTCCCTTATTTCTCACAGTGTTTCTTTATCTGTTGTATGGTCCATGCTCCCTTAAGATTCCATCACCATCCCCTGTTCTCCTTACTCCACAGGCCATCTCCTTGGTGGCTTCATCTACGTACTTGATCTCAACTGTCCTCTAGAGTCTGAAAAGCTCCAAATTCACATCACTGGCCTAACCCTCTTCAGACTTCATTCTGGATATCTTTGTAAGATCTTTACCCATCCGGATCTTTACAAGAACCTCAAATTCACAAATCTGCTCATTTCCTTCTACTTCGTACAGACTCTCTACTTTGTATGACGTTCATCATCTAATCACCCAAAGCAAAAACCTGGTTATCATTCTTGTGCCTGCTCTCCTTTTCACCATGTGCTTCAGAGATATTCCTGGAATATATATCCTTTATTCTATCCTGTAATTATCCCTGACTGGGCCACTGTAACAGCTCCAAATTTGTTTCTCGGCCTCCAGTCTTGTCCCTGTCAAGTATGTCTTCCATGACCACCAAAGGGATCTATCTGAAAGCATATCTCCTTTGACTGAAACGTAGTGGAGGCTCCCCAAAGTCACAAGACTCCCTCACAGTCAGGTCCTCCTGTCCCTGGTCCCTGCGTTCCCTCCAATTTGATCTCTCACCACCTGTGTTCCAGCACTGAACTTGTTACAGATCCTGGCATGTGCCAGGTGATTTTTTTTTTTTTAACTTGTGCTGTCCCTTCTACCTGGAAAACTCCCTTTCTTATCCTTTGTTTGATTAACTTCTGCATATTTTAAAAGGTAATCAAGTAGCATATCCTCCAATAAGCCTCTGCTTGAAACTGCCACAGATGCTCTTTCACTGAGGACCTATAATATTATGTGTATATATCTATTGTTCCATTCCCCACACTGTGTTATTATAATAGATTCTGTGTCCGTTTGTCCTATTGGATGGAGTTCCTGGGACCATACACTATTCAGACTTTAATCACTCCTGCACAGTGCCCAATAAATATCTGTTGAATGAAAACATAAGTGAAAAATATTAATAGCCCACAGACTAATCAGTCTACTTTTTTCTTATTGAATAAATTTGATGAGTAACATTGTGTAAATTTAATAAGCTATACAGCATGTTACTTTGGTACATTCTTATATTGTAATATGATTGCCAATGTACTGATAGTCACCACATTACATTATTACAGTATAATATTTATAGCACATTAGCTCTCTATGACCTATCTACTACTTATTACAAGTTTGCAGTCTTAAACACCATCACTCTTATCCCTCACCCCCCAGCCATTGGTAACCATCACTTTACTGTCTGTTTTCTACAGGTTTAACTTTTCTAGATTCCACATAGACGTGATATCATACAGTACTTGTCTTTTTCTGTCTGACTTGTCTCGCTTAGCATAATGTACTCAAGGTCCATCCATGTTGGTGCAAATAGGAAGATATTCTCCTTTCTCGAGGCTGAGTAATATTCCATTGTGTATATGCACCACATCTTTTCATCGATTCATCCACTGATAGGCATTTGTGCTATTTCCATATCCCTGCTATTGTGAACAGTGCTGCAATAAACGTGGGAGTACATATATCTCATCAGAATCCTGTTTTCGTTTCCTTTGATTAAATACCCAGAAGTGGAACTGCTGGATCGCATGGTAGACTTATTTTAATTTTGGGGGAACCTCCATATTGTTTTCCATGGTGGTTGGATCAATTTATCTTTCTTCCAACTGTGTATAAGGGTTCCCTTTTCACTACATCCTCGTCAGCATCTGTTGTCTCTTGACTTCTTGATGACAGCCCTTCTAACATGTGTGAGGTGATACCTCATCATGGTTTTGATTTGCCTTTCCCTGATGATTAGTGATATTGATCATCTTTCCATGTGTCTGTTGCCATTTTGATGTCCTCTTTGGAGAAATGTCTGTTTAGTTCTTTTGCCCATTTTTAATCATATTATTTGCTTTTTGTTGTTGTTGTTATTGAGTTGCCTGAGTTCCTTACAGATTTGGATATTAACTCTTTATCCAATATATGGTTTGCAAAAATTTTTCCCTATTCTGTAATCTTTTTATTTTGTTGTTTCCTTTGTTGTGCAAAACCTTTTGAGTTTGATATAGTCCCATTTGTTAATTTTTTGTTATTGTTGTTTGTGCTTTTGGTGTCATGTCAAAAAAATTATTAGCAAAACCATTATTGATGAGCTTTTTCCCTATCTTTTCTTCTATGAGTTTTATGATATCAGGTCTTATCTTTAAGTCTTTGATCTATTTTGAGTTAATTTTTGTGAGTCATGTGATAGTGGTCCAACTTCATTGTTCTGCATGTTTTTCTCCAGTTTCCCAGCACCATTTGTTGAAGAGATTGTCCTTTCCGCATTGAGTGCTCCTGGTGCCCGTGTTGAATATTAGTTGACTGTATAGGCCAGGGTTTAGTTCTGGGCTCTCTATTTTGTTCCATTCATTGGTGTCGTCTATTTTTGTATTGTTTTTATTACTATGGCTTTGTCATATAGTTTGAAATCAGGAAGTGTGATGCCTTGAACTTTGTTCTTTTTCTCAGGATTGTTTGGGCTGTTTAGGGTCTTTTGTGGTTCCATACAAATTTTAAGGTTATTTCTTTTATTTCTGTGAAGAATGTTTTTGGTATTTC